CCACCAGTCCACCACTTAGATCCTATTGATAACAACCTGGAGGATGGATGCACTTTCTCAACCTTTCTGCTGTTGACAATCACACTGCATTAAAAAAAGAGGGCAGAGAAACCAGAGACCGCACCAAATCAAGAGTCCTCCTCTCTTCCTTGCTGTGTCGTCACATTTCTGCTTTAGGCTACCATGTGCTCAGAGGCAAGGGTATCTACAGTGGATTCCTAAAAGGTCTATTGATTTCTTCATGACATGCAGCTGATTTCACAACTCTTGATACATAAAAAGGTAAGTAAAATTTAACTCTACAGCAACACTTTCACAGAGCGTGCTAGTGCACCTCTTGCAAAAAAAAACCCAGGTTGAAAATACACACTTCAGGTAAAAACTCTCCTCTGAACCTTCCAAACCCAAACTGCACAAAAGTTCTGTTACTTGCACTATTTTAGAGAAAACACAGAAATGAGGGGAGCCTAACAGCAGTAAGCAATAAAGCTTGATGTTAATATCAAATGTCTTGGTATCACTCTCAATAATTTTTATGTAGACAGCAGTATGGAGGAGCTGAGTCCCTACAATGGCGCATTTACAATGGCGTGCACATGGACTGGTGTCAGAATTCATCGCAGGAAAATGAATAGTCTCCTGCAACTACCAAAATGAGAATTTACTGTTGAAAAAATGAAGTTATATTTATGATAGACTGCAAAACCTGACAAAAACAAGTGTTTACAAAGTGCTGCTCTTACCAATATAATTTATAAACAGCAATGACTAGGAAGAAAGGAAAATTATTTAGTAGGCATTTTGTTTATGACAATCTTTTACTTGCAACTGATGGCAAGGGAGAGAAGGTGTCAACATGTGAGAAGATGTCAGACTATCCCCAGAAAGCATTTTGCCTCCTCACATGCATCTCCTGCTCTCCTCCATGACAGAGGTGCACAGCTCAGACAGCAGCTGTCTCGGGGAGGCAGCTGTCCCAAAGGCAGGCTTTGCTTACCAGAACACCAACAAGATTTCAAGGTCTTTTGAATTGCAACGCAAACCAAGAGATCCCCACGACCACTGTGCATCCAAGATGTGGGGCAACTTGCTTCTTAGCATGAGGGCATTGGAAGCCGCAGACCCAGGGGCTCTCGCTAGCTCTGAACAGAAGGCACTCGTGTTTGCAGTAGCTGTGCCCGTGGGTTTTCCTGCATGTTTCTGGTTTCCAAGACTGCTGTGTTCAGCCTGTCAAGTTTGAGGCTGGCAGCATCCCCAGGGATGCTTGCAGAGCCCTGTGGTGGCCTTCACCTCTGTAGCTTGGTGACAAGCATTTGTCTGTCTTTGCAACCACGTTCGCTGTGGTTCATCATTCATGTGCAGGGACACTTCTGTTGCTCAACTTCAATTCAGACCCTCACTCGGCAGGTTGTGATCTGCTTGCTGTGGACACCCATCTAGCTGGGTTTTACTCTCATCACCTGGCAGACAAATGGGCAGAGATGACTTCATTCAGCTAACTGCAATCTGGTTTCTTTTCTGATTTTAAATCCAATTTCTCTTTGTTTCCTTAAGAGACTAACTGAATCTCTACGACCAGCCCATGCTTTTCATGAGCCACAGCATAAACAGGCAGCAACATCTTTAAGTGGAGTGGAGTCAGAGCTTCTTTTACATCAAGTGGCTCGGTCAGCAGCCCACACCGTAAATCAATAGTGCAAGAAGTCCATGGTCTTTGACAGTAGCACTTCTCGCAAACATCTTTTTATTTATCCTGAGGTCAGATTTGCAATTACAGACAAGAGAATCTGTTTTCCCCTGTAGCTGTACCTAGGCTGGCAACTACACAATGCTGACTTGTCCCAGCTTTTCTGGTGTTGCCTGGAGTTGCTGCATATCAGTGAGCCTGGGCCAAGACTCAGGTCACTAGTTTGAGAGGTTACGTGATGCTAGATCTGGTTACTTAGATGCTACATCTTGGGCAGTGGTTTCCTCCACTTTCCCCTAAGTTTTTTACCTAGGTGTCACACAGCCACCACATATCAAAGTGAATACATTCACATCGGCCACTGTCACTTGGGTTAAGAACTGGTGAGGAGAACTGCTCTTTCTATTGCTGTTCAGAAATCACACCAGCTACGCCATGGAGCTTGCCACTTAGAAATAACTCTCAAACTCAAAGACAGATGGATGGGCATGGACATAGCTGCAGAACATGCAGCCTTTAATGAGCATGCATAGGATTTTAAGATGTGTTTGTGCAACTTCATCAGTGCCAAAAAACTAGGTGGTAGGGTCAAGAAGACAAAGCCATTGGGGAAATAAAGAGAAAGATTGAGTTACAAACTTTCATTCGGATTTCCCACGCTGAATAAGCACAAAACAAGGCCAGTGCACGGGCACGTGATGTTCTTTCACATAAAAGATTATCAGAAATAATATTTTCCCTTCTTTAGAGTAGAAGAGCACCAATGACTTCCCCTTTAGCAACTTGACCTATGCTAAAGCCCTTCTTAATTCCTACAGCCTTCCTGCCAGCGAAACGGGGTGAAGAAAAATTTTCTTCTTCTCAGGAAGACATTAGCTACAACTGGAATGTTTCATGAGAAGTTAAGTAATTATTTGAAGCCAAAAAACTTAAAATGAATGTGGGTGGAAAAACACATCAAAAGGAGAATGACAAAAATAGACATCATAAAGTACCATGGAACAAGGTTAGGATACATTTAAAATAAATGCATGTATATTAATGTCCCAAAACAGTTACTCTGGTCACAGAAACCACCCTAACACCATACTGCAGTGCCACCAAGCACTAATACACTAGGATAATCCTGTTCTAATGCTTTTGACCCAAATGGGATTACACTCATGGCCTTTCCATGTTTCTCACAATTTTTTTTGGATGTTCCTACCAGGCTCATGGGGGTGCTAGACAGCACACTGCAACAAAGCGCTCAGAGGCTGGAAATAACAGTTTGGATTATACATATAATCCACACAGATGAGGCTGTTCAGATACAAGGAGTTTTCCTGCTTGTGCAATCCTGTGCCCTGAATTTATCCTCGTCTTTTCCAGGCTGGGACTGTGAACCTTTGGGAAAGCTCAGTGGAAATTCACAGGGCTCAGGCATACTGGAGGACTGACTGCTGGACACTGCAGAGCAATGCATTCTTTTAAATGTAAATGGACAAAACACGGTCATAAGTGGCAGGGAAATGTAAAAAAAAAAAAAAAGAAAAGAAAAAAAAGAAAAGAAAAAAAAGAATATGAAAATTTGGGCCTCCTTACCCGTCATACAGTCTTTGTTCTGTGTCAAGGGGTTCTATTTGCTTCCTTCACTGGCACAAACAAAATTATTCCCATTAGCCCCAAGGAGAGGTGACAGCTAGCTACGCAAGCGAGAGATGGATTCTGTTCTGCATCACACAAAATCAACAAAATAGTCAAATGTGTTCTAGCTCAACAACTGTCTTCATTTTTTTTATTTGCACTAACAGCAATGACGATGTGATAAAAGAAGTCAAATGGCATGATTACCATGTCAGGTGGTTGGGAGAAGTCCCTGGCATGAAGCTGGGGAATTTATTTGGTGAATTTTATTGAAAATATTATAAAAGAAACTGAAATGTCATTTTTGTAGAATTACCTTTCAACAACCCACTGTCCTAGCTTCTGAAAGGCCCTATCCATTTATGTTAGGGGGTTTTAAACTAAAGTAAAACGTCTTCCTTCAGTAGAGATGCTGATTACTTGAGACAAGACTAGAGGAACAAAGTGATTACATAACCTTCCTCCTGTATTTTTGATTTGGCATAGGCAGTTCACAAGAATAGTTCCAACTAAAAACACTTAATAAATTTTGAATCAGGCTGACTGTGACTCGACAAAACAGCAGAGCTATTTTAATTAAAAAATAACTAAAATATCATCAGCTGAAAAACTTGGAATTTCTCATCTATTTTGCAAGAACACAGAGGCTGCAAACACACAGACTCATTTCAAAAAATTATGTTGCAACTCTCCCATACTTCTGATACTCGTTAAAGGATACTGCTGCTAAATTTTTTTGGGGGGGTAATCATTTATCCATTTATGATTTTGAAAAAAAAAAAAAATCTTTCAATCTTTGTCAAAAAGGACAACAAAGAAGGAATTGGATAAAATATAAATAAAAGCACTAGTATTGGAAACAAAATATTTAATCACAGTAAAAATATTAAAACTAAAATTAAAATAATTTTAAAGTTAAAAATTAAAAGTGCCCATCAATTAAGATTTTTTTAACTGGAACACTTCTTCCCTGTATAAAATAATACAAATCTAAATCTATCCATGGAAAATGTACGTATCTTTGATATCATAGAATCACAGACTGGTTTGGCTTGGAAGGGACCTTTAAAGATCATCTAGTCCAATCCCCCTGCCATGGGGGGGAAATGATGGGGCAAGGATGTATATAATCAGAGGAAGTTATCCAAATACAACTAATGTAATATATTTATTGCACTGTTTTGCTAATGCTATACTCCCTGGGGGCGGGGGGAGCATTCCTCTGCTATTTCCCAGTGACATAAATACAAAACAAAGCTGTCATGACTTGAAGTGGCTGGAATGATAGATAACGACTTCACCTTGCCTCTGAAGCCAGCAGAAGGTCTGACACCAATTGCAGGTGAAGAATTAGAGCTTTATTACTGGAGTTACAGCCACCCCCATGCTACGTCTAAGCAATGAAATAAGCCAATAAATAACCTGCACATTCACTGCAGGTATCATGCAACCCTCCTTTCTTTTCAGCAACAAAATGCAATAGCAAAGAAACCAATCATTCAATATCTCACCTCGCTATCTTGTCACTGCAGGACATAGTAAGTAGCCTTTCTCCTTGCAATACACCATCCCACGTCTGGATAGTGGTAGTAGAGCGCACGGGGATGGTCCCTTCCCCAGATTCTATTTTTGTCCGTAGCTGTCCTCTTGCTTTGCGGTTTGGATGCCTGTCCCCTTGATCTAAATGACAAAAATTACTTACAATCAGCTGAGAAACATTCTCAAAGTGTTTTACAGATAGCATTACAATAAGAAGAGTCAATTAAAGGTATTTGCCTGTGTAACTGCTGGCTTGTATAACAATTTTTATTGCTCCTTGCAAATTAGCTACAGCATCAGACATCTCTCACAAATACTGTCTTCTAAAACACACTTGCAATTCAACCAAGCTTTCCACGAAGGAGCAGTACATAGCAGGTAGCTCTTCAATTCTGTTCTGCACGTTCCAGCGTTAGAATGAAGTTAATGGACAGATCAAGAAAGGGGCAGGCAGACAACCACCATTAAAAGATGGAAACAGTGAAACAGTTCTGTTAGTTCTGTACAAGTACTTGCTGACTCACTGGCTTATCTCGGCTAGCATTCAGCCTCTTCAAGACCACACGGTGGATCAGTCTATACTTAACTTCTACCACACAGGAAGAACAGCTCAGATTTTTTTTGAAGAGATCTTTGTCTAACACACATCTACACTAAAAGGAAAGAAGACACCTAAATTTTAACTGTGCCACTTGTACATGCTCATAGAATACTTTAAACTTCCTTGCTTGAGTAGGACTGCTGTCATACCCTCTTGCGCTGCTTCGTGTGGTGAGAAAATCCTAGCGTCGCCACAAGGAGATGTGCTGATATAGAGATGAAACTGCACATTCTCCTTCAGCTTAAACCCGCCTCGCTCTGATTTGATAAAAATGGATTTTTGTTGATCTTCTTTATTGCTGAAACAGAGAATAAACCTAGAGTCAAAACTGACATTAACACATAAATAACCATAAGCTGGGCAGTCTTAATAGGCATTAAAAACAAACACACGATGTCTGGAAATTTTGTAGTATAAATCTGACAGTTATTACAATTAACAAAATTAAAAGACTATCGAGACAAGAAATAGAGAGCCCTTGACATCCCCAGACGTCAAGAGCTTTCAGGCATTTACCAACAAATGAAAAATCACCACCTTTTAGCACACTTGAGATTATTTTGATTTATGTGTTTACAGTTTACAAAATGATTCCCAATTATTTTTTCTGTCCTCCCCTCTCATGATTGACACCTAACTGAATACATGTTTTGTCAAAGTCAAATTTTAGGGCAAAGGGCCTGTGTTCTAAATTAAACATCCTAATGCAACAGGACAAGTGTTTCACATTGAAATAATTAAGACAGATGTTTTACACAGACACCTTTTCAATTCCATGTGATTAGCTCACCTTCCTTTTCCCTCCAGCTTACCTTAGATAAAGCTCAAGTTGTGTATACAGAAATTTAAGCAGGCACCGGCGAGATATAATTTCCGCATGGCAATCATTTAATGCAAGACCACGATCGCTCATGTATTCACCATTGATGCATTTTGTTCCTGTAGAAACACTTATTACTAGGGCATCTTTCACATCTGTACCTGCAAAACAAAATATCAGGAAGAAGATGCAATTAAAATCACAAATAATCTAGCAAGTGATCTTCCTGCAGAACCCAAACAAGGCTCCTTTTTTTTTTGTTTGCTTCTTTTGAAAAAAAGAAATTTTTTCTCCTGATACTTTCTTTAAAGCAAAAGCTCCACCCAGCCATGCCCTCCCTGTACCAGTACAGTCTATGGTTCTTGTGAGCTCTTCATGTTGGAGTTCAGACAAGTTAGAAACTGAAAACCTGCAGGGAAAAATTGCTGCTTCAGGAAGAGTTATTAAAGCCTAAGCTCCAAGACGATATTTTTTTCCTGAGCCCCAGGCAGCCAGCTAGCTTCCAGCATGTACCTTCTGGCCGCCTATGCAGATATTCACAGAGACTTTAGAAATCTGAAAGGCACTGATTTATTAAAACAGCAACAAGTTATGGAAGGGTATTAAGCCAACAACAGGAAAGGTAAGACTAGGGAATGAAGAAGTTTAAATACTTAAACCAATGTAAAGCTTATCAGCAGTATAATGCTTCTAGATGTGTAGTTCTTGGTATTAAATCATTCCGTACAATAGAATTAAAAAAATATTTTGGGTGTTTTCTATACAGAGAACTGTCTTTATCACACACACACAAAAAAAACGTCAGCTGCATGAAGGATTCAGAAAGACAGGTCAAAATATTACATCCCTCTAGCAAAACACTCAGCAAAAAAAGCCCCACAAGCCACACTAATTCCTCTGAAGCTCTCGAGGTCTCACCAGCAGAGGCAGATAGTGGCCAAGCCCTGCCAAATGCCTTCTGCTGTCTTCCTCCCACAGAATAGTTACTGCGGTATGGAAAAGCTGAAAAACCCCTTTCAACGCACCCCAAGCACCTAGAGTTGAGGATCCTCCCATAACCACCTGGCTGCACGACAACAGTGCCGATATAAGGGGCGTAACTAGTAACTAGCAAGGGAATTGGTAATTCAGTAATTAAAAGAGTAAATGAGACATGGACTGTTTGAGCTCTCACTCCTGATGAAATATACGGCCTTAAAAAAATGAACCTGAGCCCAGCTGCCCCCTCCTGCCCACAGGGCTGGAGGAGAAGACCATGGAGGAGAAGCAGGGAGCCACTTCACCCTACAACACAAGGCTGTGCAATGGGGTCATCTAATTCCAGGGGAGCCCCAGACACGTATCCATGCAAAGACGATTTTTAATTCTGTGTAAAGCTATTTCTTCAGTTAATCAAAATGTATTCACATGTTAATTAAGTCTTAATTCTTTGGTCACATGGCTCTTCTGGGAATTGTGGACACAGGACCGTAATTGCAATAAAAACTTGTTAAATATCACAAAATATATTAAATAAAACTACAGCATGCTCCTCACAGTGCTTTGCATTTGGGGCTAAAATACCACAGGAATGTTTTGGCTGTCGCTGAGCAGTGCTTGAGGAGCGTCAAGGCTTTCTCTCCAAACCTCCCAAAGGCCAGTGTGCTGGGGGTGGGCAAGAGGCTGGGAGGGGACACAGCTGGGACAGCTGAGCAACAGTGACCAAGGGATATCCCACACCATAAGTGTTGTGCTCAGCAATAAGAGCTCAGGGAAAGGAAGAGAGGACATTCGAGGTTATGGCATTTATCTACCCACGAGTCTTCTCGCCCTTCTTCCATTTTCTCCCCATGCCCCAGGAGAGGGAAGTGAGTGAGAGGCTGGGTGGGTGTTCGACTGCTGGCCAGGGTCAGCCCACCACGGACGTCTTGTGACAGAGTTTGGGCCACATCGTCCCTTTGTCACAGTCCCCTGTGCCTAGAGCATGCAGTTATCATCTACCCTAACGAGCACCCTCAGACCTCTCTGCTCTGTGGAGGAGGCCCCTACAAACATCCCCGCAGGAGGAAAGGGTTGGAGTTGCCCAAATCACCAAGAGAAGGCTGTACATTTATCACCGGTATCTGTCTGACTTGTAGAACTAATTGGGGACATTTCACGACAGGTCCAAAATGAATGTCCCATCAAGGGTTCTGATGGCTTGAAGACCAAGATAAATCTTAGCCTGAGGAAAATTCAGCAGCAGTGTGGTCTCAGATCAGCTTGGGGCACAACTCCACTGTTTTGGGTGATCTGGCAGAGCACAGATCTCGTGCCAGCAATCAGAGAACCACGATGTTACTGCTGCTTGTACGTGCACACCAGTGTCAGCTGCCAAAACATAAGCTGCTTTCTTCAGATATTTTTACTAAAATGACTGAGACACAAAGCACTAAGAATAAAATATAGCAAGAATAACTCTAACAAAGTGCAAAACCTTAAAAACTTGGAAAGCAAGCATAATTTCTTATATAATATGACCAAAACCAAGAACGCCATCTGTGTGACCGATGCAGTGAAATTTTTTTTAGATCTACTTTCAAAAAGTTGCATGATCAATTTTAAAAGGTACGTGTATCTTGTAGACCATGAGTTATCTCAGATGCCTCAATCAGGCAGAAGTCAGGAACTCTGTGTAAAGAGAAGTATTTGCAGGTCTAATTTTCCTGTAATTATCTTTAGCCAAGATTTAATTGCTATATTTAGTGCACCTTGAAGATTAAACAGTAAAAATATATTTCAATACTGGTTGATTGAAAAAACATCGTTTCCTACAGTGCAAGCAGAGCTCTTGTATTTAAGCAGTTAAAATAGTACTTTTTTTTCTTTCTTTACCTGTTGTCATCACAATTCCAGCAAGGACTTTCCTACGTGCATGTGGAGATGTGAAATTTTCTGTCAAATCACTGAATTTATCTACAACCAAGCGTGCAACAGCATCAGCTAAAACCTGTAGGATCACACAGAAATGCGCATTAGAAAATAAAAAAAAAAAATTAAAAATTACAGCAGCATTAAGTTATAAAGATTTGCACTTTTAAATGATTGACACAATAAATTAAACGAGTTTTTATTGTTCACTTTAAAAATGGATATTGAGGCATGAGTAGTATGCTGAGGAGGTGGCTGGGTCAAACTTTCAGGCATACTGAGCACTTGCAGCTCTTTTTAAGTGTAAGCAGAGCTCTGTGTGCTCCACGTCTATTAAAACAGGGTCAGACAGCTCTAAGCCAAGCATCGAAGTACCTAATGCTCATGATCGTTATGAACATTTGAGGCTTAAGAGAACAACTGGATAGACAGATAAGTCTATGCTTTCATGCTCAAACCTCAAAACACATCATTTCAGCATCCTCAACATTGGACCTGACAAGAAGATTGAAGTGCAAAAACCAGGCTCCTCAAACCAACATGTAAACCTTTTATAACAATTGAATTAATTATTTAGCTATTACATAAATAAGAACAAATCTGTTTTCAACACTGGTTAAACACTTTCTATTTCTTATTTTTACAAGACATACACAAATTTAGGAATAGAAAATGTTAATGTATAACCCAAAATAAGCTATCTTAAAATTAGGAAGGATTTATCTCTTTCATCTTCAGGAAAATGTGAACAATAACAGTCACAGCCTTGTTGTATCTTGCCAGCAGGGCTAGTAAGCAACGTTGGTCAGGCTGTAAGGGGGGCTAACTTCTAGTATTAAGGAAAACTTCAAAATACCAGTCCTGCTCTTGTTGAACGACAGTTCAGTTCAACACTGCAGCTAATCTCACCTGCTGTTTTTACGGCAGCTGGAATCATAACAGCTAGAAGGGATGAGTCAAGATCAAATTCTTGAATTTTCACCTGAAAAGAAACTGAAAACCAGGGCAATCTATGCAACAGCATCACTAGCACAGCTGGTTGTTCCCAAAGGAGTGGCTGAGAAAGGCAAGTTACATGCTAAATGGCATGATAAGCGGTCCCCAGGCTGGCAGGAGAGACAGGACAGCATGTCCTCGCCCATCTTCCACCAGCACCGGGACCGGCAGCCAGATAGGAGCAGCAAACAGCCAGGGATGGAGCTCAGGTCCCTGTCTCAGAGCACTAGGCATAAAGAACTTGATCTGGTTGTCCATGTGTTGGCACACAGCAGTATCTGAGATGTTCTGGGGTAACCACCTGGCCCACAGGTTGACACACCAGAAGGACACAGGTCCTGTGTCATACCTGCCAGCACCATGCAGATGTCTTAGATACCCAAGAGCATCCAACAAGGTGCTAAACCCACATATAAGCAACTATACCAAGCCCAAAAGGACATTTGTGTCTGAGAGTCTTCTGCTTACAAACTGTCTTTGGGCTCTCAGTAATGGAAGAAGATCACCACTCTCACCCCTCCAGAGGGCCCAAGGCAAATCAACAGGGCTGATGGCAGCGGCATACAGAGCTTGGGGGCACCCACTTGAAATGGTACGAACTCTTGAACACAATCAGTTCTAAAAACAGACTGCCAGGGTCAAAAAAAAAGAAAGAAAAGAAAAAGAGGGTTTGAAGGCTGCCAGCCTGATTCACCACCTTTTTCTTAAAAACGCTCATGAGAACTGACAGCCTAGAAATAAGGTAGAGGAGCTCTCAACATTAACTTCCTTCTGGAAAAGCTTTAGCAGCCAAGGAAGCAATAATTAAAGCTCATGTGTCAGGATTTCAGAGCTCGACAGCTTTTTCCAGAATCTGACTGGAGACAGTGACCAGCGGTCAGTGGTGACTGAGGTGACATCTGCACCAAGCGTTGGTCAATGTTTTGCAATTGCACAACTTGTAGAGTCAGAAGACTCTCAACATTGCAAATACAAATTTTCTTGATGCATTTGAATGGACTGCAACTCAGAAACTCTTATTAACAGATGGAGAAATTTTTCAGGAACGCAATTTTGCTCAGAGGCTACAAACATGTCTGGTCAGGCACTGATTTTCAAACAAGGTCTTTTTGCTGCTAGACCCAAAATTGTGTTACAATCTATGCTCTGACAGCACCATGACCACGCAGCACAAAATCTGCATTTAATTGTGCTAGTACGTACCTAATGCAGAAAGCTGAACTTCAAGGTAAATACACAAAAGAAAAATAACGAGAGACAGTTTTATTATCACCCTTTTTTTTTTTCTGCTCTACTTTACATCATGACATGTTGGACAGGAGAACACGGCTGGCAGCTGAGAAGCTACAAGGCAATGTAAAATCATGCTGAGTGACATTATGATGGAATATCCTAGTGAAACAAACTTTTCCAAGTAGGGATGGACCCGATCTACAAAGAGAATACATACTTCACAGAGGCTTCAAAGCCTGCCAGAAAGGCTTGCCATCCAGGTAATAAACAATATGGGTCACCCCTTCTCCAAAAAAAAGTGACCATGATGACTGGTAAACTGGAGGAGTCTTCTCCAACTCTGAGCTAAACAAAACCACAAAGTTCTGCACATACCAGAAATGGTGATTCCAAAATGCTGAACCAAAACTGTCTGGTTGCCAAGGATGAACATAGAGGAATGCTTCTTCCAGGACCACCAAACATGGGTAACTCACTACACAGATCCTCAACCTACCCAGCCAAAAGGAGGCTGATCTGCATTCACCCATTCCCTGGGGGAACGAGGGCTGGCTTAAGGAGGTTCTCACCAAGAGGTGGGAACTGAAACTGCAAGGCATTTCTGGGAAGAAACTCATGGCCAACTTCCAATACTGCTGACAAAAAAGCTACTTGAACACCAATTGGGTAGGATGGCTGCATACAGGGTGGACACATTAGCTTTTTCCAAAAGGATTATTTTTTTCACATAATAAGCAAAGCAGAGGAAACTGTGGTGCTGGTATACAAGTAAGAACATGGTGAGTCCCTCTGGGAAGATGTAAGCTGGCACAGAAGGATGGGTTGGGGCTGCATCTCAAACAGCGTGGAACTAAGCTGCTGCCAAGGAAACCTAAAAACGCTTGAATGAACATGAAGCCAGACACTGGGGAGGGCTGATAAGAAGAACTACGTAGAACTCAAGCAAGAAAAATGACCGCTAGAGATGGAAACAATACAGGATAAACTGTAGGGGAGGGGGGAAAAAATCACTGCCAGAAAACAGGCAGATACATTAAAGATTTTTTTATTCTATTTGATACTCAAGTTGTGTGACAACAGGTGGGTGGTGAGGAATAAACACTATTACATGTCTACAGATTTAGTTATTAAGCTGTTGGTCTTTTATAAGAACACTTACCCGATAAATAAGAATTATCCTTTTCTCCCAGGTGGTCTATTACATTAACATAGTTAAGAGTCACTAAGAGCATGGAAGAGATGGGAATAAGGCAGGCTATCAACAGACCACTGCAGCACTGGGAACAAGACTTACTGGCCTAAAATGATATCCTTACTGTCCCCATCTCAAAACCAAGGACTTGAAGCTGTCTCCATATCAAGCCCAGGCTGCTGACAGGGCTGGGTAGGGATCTTTCACTTCTCATTCTGACTCTACTCCCTTTCGTATAAATAAATATTAATTGGGACAGAAATTGAACGCGTATCTCACCTTCTCAGTGAGTGCCCTAACATCTGACACGCAGTCTCTCTGCCCCTGCTCCTGCATTAAATCATTATTCAAAGATGGTAATTCAAAAAAAGAAAGACCTAAAATAGCTGACAGTTTGTTCGTTAAGGCATGTGTGCTCAAAGCGATTTTGGGTGCATTGTTCTCTTCTCTGATGAAGTTACAGTGAATCCACTTCTTTTCTACACATACAGACTGATTCTGGTTAACATACATATTGCAGCAATGTTGTAGCAGAACCCCCCTGACCATCCATGTTTTAAAATATTCTGAGGCTGATGAAGTTCAGGTTTGTCTGGATCCGAAGGAAGACCTTGGCAGGCCACAGAGATCACCCCAGGTGAATGCTGGTGAGCACCCACGTGGTGGAACCAAAGGCAGCGGGAGCAGGGGCACTGCGTGGGCTGACAGCACCCAACTCTCACTGGAGACCTGACCCAAGACCTCCCAATCTTTTGTGCTCTCCTTGGATCTCCAGTGATCCTTTTCAAGTACAAATGTTCTCCCTCAGCTTTATTTCTTCTTACCTTCACAGTTTAGGGCTTATGTGAACTTTCACAAGCTGATGAGCAGTGGCAGTGCCCACAGTAGGTAAAATCAAAGTCCATTATCTCTCTGACAGTGAACAGCACACACAATTCAGAGAAGGTGCAAACATATGCACACTAATAAAACAGGGTAATTATTTTCTAGTGCTCCAAAGTTTCCTGTATTTATTTAAAGGAACTGCTACCTGGCAGTAGATTCTCTCCCTGCTTATGCAAATGTATCTTTTACATTTCTGCCAATTCCACAGCAATTATTCCAACATATTACTCATTAATTCCCATAAACAAATTCAGTATTATCTTTTTGCTAGGTTTGAATCTGTTACATTCTCATTCTCCTGTATACACGAAGCAGTCTATTGCAATAAACTGCCTAGAGCTCTGCAGAAGCAGTTTTCCCAGATCTCTGATCATTTTCATCATTAATTTGTATACCTTTTCTATATTTGCATACTTCTTTTATAGTTTCCCCCCACCCCAGGTTGAAGCAGGATTAACATAGCACTTCAAGTAAAAGTAGCCATTGCAGTACTGATTCTCATTCCATTCCTTCTGCTTAACGTTTTGTTTCAATGTCTGTCCACAATGATATACAGGATAAATTGAATTTGCAACACAATTAGGTGAATGATTAAAAGTATCCCCTTAGTGGATTCTTTAAAAATTAATTTCATCTGCAGCCACATTGCTTATTTGTCTAAAGCAAGTTGCTTTCTCTCACAATAGTCCAGCTTTCACTAATCTAAATAACTCTATTTTTAAGCTTCAATATTTACAATTCCAATTCTCTAATTTCCACCTCTTTGCATCCTGACTAATCAGCTATCTTTTTAAGTAAACAGTTTGAGGAAATCTGGGAAATACCATTATAAAGCTTATATGGAGGTTTTCCTAACAGAGGCCATCAGTGCCCCAAAGAGGACGTCTCCACCAGCAGGTTCCTACCGTCTGATGGAAACCATTTCCATCAGTAATGCCAGGAGCCTGGACCAGCAGACTTCACTGAAAGTCACCAAGTGCCCTAGGGCACACCAGGATGCATGCCACACGTTTCAAAACAAACAAGATGAGACTCTTCTTCCCGCAATACATACTTAAACAGTGGAACTTACTGCTACAAGATGCTGTGGAAGCTAAAAGATTACAGAAATTCAAGAAACGGTTGAAGTTCATGAGGGAAAACAATAACCCATCAAGGACTCTCAGATGGAAAGACACCATTTCTGGGTGAGAAAATCCTTGAGACACAAACTGCCGAATGTTAGAAGCACGTACTGGGGAAGTACTGCTATCAATATGCCCTTTTCTCAGTTTTTTCCAAGGCATTTGGTACTGGCCTGAGTACTTCTTTTAGGGACAGCACCATCCCACCTTTGACAGAGGTGTGAGACCCCTCATGGCCTTCCTTGGGAAGCAGGGAGCATATAAGGGAAAAGAAGGAAAGGAGAGAAAACAAGTGATCTCTGGGAGACTTCTCTCTGGGTGATAAAGAGATCAAAAATGAAGAAATAGGGAAGTCCAACAGAGCATCCGCTGCTCCTGAGATGTCCAAGGATGTCCTCGTACCACCCCCTGAGATGTGCAAGGTGCTGCTCAGCAGCAGGACTGGCTCCGTGAATGGAGACAGCCCCAGCTGGCACCAGCATCCCCTGCAAACCTCCTGCTTCCCAGTGCTGGGGCTGCTGGCAGGGACATGGCACTGGCGATGGGATGACGTGAGAGGGAGCTTTTGCCTGGCCCAGTGTGGCTCTTGCTATGGTAGAGTGCTCAGCAATACTCTTTTCCCCAGAAATGAGATTTGGACTTCGCACTAACAGTTTTCAAAAACCTGATCACATCGACTTCTACGCTTCATCTATAAACATGTGACCCCTTTGTTTTCAGAAGTGGTTTTAAAAGACTGTTCACATTTCGCTGTCTTCTCCAGTTCTCATCACCTACCAACTCTGCAGACCTATGACAAGCCATGCATTTAAACTTTTTAATGATATTAATCTAAGTATGCTGAAACATGCAGTTTTCTCCCATGGAAAAGAATAAAACTTGAAGGACACATTTTAGAGCCCTTGGTACATCCTGTGGCTTAGTGCAGAATACAGGTCACCCCCTTGCATCGAGGAGTGGGAGGTAAAGAGAGGACGGCTATCAATTTACAAAGTGTAGCTAACCATAAAAATATTTTCTTTGTTTTGGAGAGGCAAGTCCCTATAATGCAAGACTGACAACCTCTTCTATTTTAACACGCTGCCAAGGTAATAAATGCACGAGAGCTGATTTTTTCAGCAGGGCATTTTCATCCGCTCTGAGGCACATGTTGAGTGACTTACTGGCGTTAACTCACTTTCCCAGCAAAGAGATTTTCCTCACCACAGGCAACATTGCTTCGTCCCTCACAAAAGGTGAAGCTGTAAGCAAGCAGGTAAGCTTCCTTTGCAGAGACTGGTTTTAAATGTATTAAACCATGGGATCAGCACCTCGATAACCCACTCTACAGACCATAAGATTATACCTACGCCCATTTTACAAGCTGATTTCTGATGTCAACTGCCCTTCTGCACTATTTGATAGCTTGCACGTGTATTTCCGTATTTAATTTCCCCCGGGGTGCCTGCAGTTATTGGGAGGTGTGGGATCACGGGTGTGCATTTCAGCCGATACTCACGACCACCTCCGGAGCAGGGATCATCTATTCTCTCCTCTCGACTCTTTCCGCTCTATTATTTTTTCTCACGAGGCACCACAAATTAACACACCAGCTACAGGCAGGTTTTGAACCTGCCACCCAGGCAGTCAATTCCAACACCGTCATCGGCACCACCACACTGTACTTTTATTATTTCCACTGAGCATTTGGTATTTGGATTTTTCCTCCCCTTGCATGTTTCTAGCTTCCATCTTTTTCCAACCCAATCAGCATTTTATTTGGTCTATGGGTTATAACAAATCCTATCCTCGTTTACATCATTCCTGTGCTCTCCAATGTTTGCAACTTCACCCACTTTAGGATTATCTCCAAATTTAACATCTTTACACATCCTGAGTAAACACTCTGTAAAAAAATAAAACAGCTTACAGAATTAAAAAAAAAAGAAGATAAATAAAGCAGGACCTGAAAACATCACAAATGCTTAAATCCCTTATTAATCATTACTAGATACCAGACCAAAATCACTAATATGTAACAGACCTTGATATAAGTCCAATAACTTGACAGCTAATTATAATTTAAAGGAGGGTAATACAACACAGCGAAGTGCAGAAAGGACGACGTCATCCTGATCACAAGCTGATCAAAAGCCTCTGAATAAATAACTGACTTTGAATCGGGTCTACACGAGGCAGTACCAGCAACCTCCCCCTTCCCACCCAGCGTATTTGGCAGTACTCCTAAAGCCCACCAGGTTCTCCTCCACACCGCAGCAGCCTTTTTCTGTGCACACCTATAAGACAGGTGAAACGCAAGCTAGCCCTGGGGCATGCTTTGTTGTACAAAACATGGGTATCAAGGTTAGTGCAGGAGCACTCGAAAAAATTAAAAACAGTGTTTACGTGGGTTGCTTTTTTGTTATTTAACACCATACCCTAGGCTTGAATGCCCTGATCATCCCATAAGCTCTGGGACAGCTACCTGGGAGACTCAATCAAAACCTGACGAAGGCAAGGAGCTCAGAAAAACCCAGCACTGCCCAGTGCTCCATCGAAGTCCCCTGAAGAAAAGAGGCTGTGTAAGCTGTTATACGCTGGGCTGCTGGGTGGAGAAACAACTTTACCCTCTCAGAATGACACTTCTTTCACGTCTCACCTCTTTCCCACTTCCCTATTGCAGTTCCAATTTTCACCATTTTACTGATTCAAGAACTAAAAACACATACATTACTGGCAGTAAAAGTTTTTTGGTGTCTGGGGCCAAATCTACTTTTAAAAGCACAGCAGAGAATGCAGTCTGAAATTACTGAATCTACTGAAATTACTGAAGGAATCACAACTACCTGAAATAGCACAATCCTAGATTTGAAAATGAAGGAAACATTCATCAATAATGCAATAATTGTGCAACATTAAAAAAGAAAGCATATAGAAATTTCTAAACGATGCATATTCTCCATGCATTTTTAGAAAACAACATACTTAAAATAGTGACAACATCTACTACCACTCTTTAACCCTACTTTATGAAATCAGACCAGTATCTTATAATTTTAATGAAATCTAAAACAATGTTTTTGAGATAGAAAAGGTCAAAGCCTTGAAATTCTCATAATAAACAGATAGAAAGTTGCAAAAAAGTCACAGGCAAGTATTTGAATTTAGACAGGCATATAATATCATTAAAAAGATCCAAGGGACACAGCAGAAAGAGGGTAGTCAAACAATCATTACTGTAGTTTGACTGGGGAGAAACACAAGCAAGCAAATAAGGGAGAATTTTTCTTCATTGAAAAAATAAAAAATTACTCCATCCTAGCTACTTTAAATTTCTGATCAATGTCTGGAATGTTTGATACTTTCCCTAGTTCATTAATTATTTTATTTAAACTATTTCTCATCGAAATTTACTTGCCTAAGTAACTCACGTATCCTTACTAACTCATTTGATTAGAGCACAATCCTTTAGATGACAGCTATTTAACCACGCATCTTGGATACATGCACTGCGAGTGTGTCGTTTATTTAGACCCTGGAAATACGTGGCGATTGCATCAGCCTCACTTAATCTGTCCTTGACTTCCATTATTCTGCTCTGTTAATGCCAACAATTTCAGTTTGCAGAACAGAATGATTTTCTTCTCTGCTAAAAACTGTTGTATCAAATAATAATTTTACTTAAAGCAGTAATTCTGACTTGAACTCCATCTAAGTCTTGCTGCCTAAGACGAGCAAGATGCAATTCAACCCTTCCTCAGCACAAACCACAATCCAAGCTGGCATTGCACTGGGATTAGTGCTCTCTTACATGACATGATCAAGGCTGAAAGCAGCAGCAACAAAGTCTCCTTTGTGTCCAACAGAATACAAAGAGTTCATGCAATTGTCAGAAGCCATAAGTGGATAAATCACCTAATACATATATACATATATATATATATATGCACACACGCATCTATAGAAGCGGAATAAACAGCAGAAAAGCTGTTCAATCTGATTCAATACGCATGACTTGGCTACTCTTGGTCATTACCCAAAGACATCAACAAAACCCAAAGGGCTTCTCACCTGTGGCAAGTGTAACTGGAGCCCCTCGCTGGGAATGGGCTGTCGAGATGGGGTCTGGTCCAGCTGCATGTTAAACAAGGATGCCAGGGCCGACTGAGCGGCCCGAGCTTTTGCCAGCTTTTTATTCCTTCCCGAGCCTTCAAAAGTCTGACCGTCCACCGCCACAGCCATGACAAAGTTTTTGGCGTGGCTCTCCCCGCTCTCCGAGAGAAACTCGTACTTCAGCCCTGGCCGCAGCTCGTTGAGGATCATGACGGGGTTCTTCCCGCTGGCGGAGGGGTAGGGCGATGGCACGGGGAGAGGCGACTGGGAAAGGCTGCTGGCTACAGCAGACGACGGCAAACCGTAGTCCCCACTAGAGCTAAAGGACCCATCCCCGTTGGACCCTAGGTAAAAGGAAGCATCAGAAGGGACCGGTGTTTCGAACCCATTGAAAAGGGTGTCGGGGAAGTCCGCTTGGTCAGAGGTGAAGTCCGTATTGACTGACAGAGTCCTCCCCATTGCCAGGTGCGCTTCCGAGGCGTTTGGAAACTGGACAAAAGACCGCAGAGCCTTCTCGGCGGCGTGAAGCTTAGCTTTCTTTTTCGTCGGGCCAGACCCCTCAAATACCTGCCCGTTTACTTCAACTGCCATCACAAACATGGGGGCATGGACTGGCCCCGTCTGGGAGAGGAGTTTGTACTGTAAACCGGGTTTAATCTCATTAAGTTGCATCAGGGCATTCTTTGGCAGAACAGGGCCAGGCGTTTTCTTCCTCTTCTTCGGCCGAAATTTGGAGTGGCCGTTGTTGCCCTCCTCCAAAGGACGCTTTCTGCTGCTGCTGCCACCGCCATTGGAGAGCTGCGTCCCCTCCCCGGCACCTTGCCCACCGCCGTCCTTGGGGGGAACGTTGTCCACGTTGCGGTTTTCTTTAACATCAGTGCTGCTCGAACCTGCGGTGCCCAGAAAGAGTAACTTACAATGCCTTCGTTGCAGGATCTTGTAAATGCAAAATTTATAGATTCCTTTATCTCTCTTTGTAACTGGTTAAGTGATGTGTGCTCACAGGTTAAATGTTTTGAAATACAATCAGAGAAAATAATAATGCAATACAACCTCTCGATAATTCAAGAAATAACACACTCAAGAATGATTTTCAAAGTCTGCACTTGATACAATCATATAGCAAAAAAACACTGCAGCTTTTTTGGGTTTTTGCATTTAAATCACACTGGAACAAAACTTTTACTCATAAGTTACATTTGGCCTGAAAAATGCTTTAAACCAGAAATATAAGTTATAGTAGCATACGCCTATAAAACAAAGAACTGCCATTAGTAAAATAAAAATGGATGCTTAAGACCAGTACTAGGAGATGGATATTTAATTCTACTTTATTCTTATTTTAGTCATGTTACATTTTTTTCTTAGTGATTTTGTTGCTCAAATTGAGAAATGGCATAAATAAAACCTGAGCCATGAAAAATTAGGCAGCTCTTTGGTAGGCACCATGACTGAAGAGTGTTTGAATGCTTTTGTTTCTCTTTAGCTACTCCATATTCTCCAAATTCAATTCTTTTTCACACCTTTCCTAGATGTTCATTTCACCTCACCCTAATTTGCTTAGGAACTACAGCTGCCCGCTGTGCCAGCATGACCACAAGACTAATTTATGTGTATATACACAGACTTCTACTAAGAAACCTTATATTTGTCATTTACAAGCTGTTTGGTAATTCCCTGCAAAGTAAGAAAACTGCTGTCACAGCACTACACACCCAAAAATCATGATAAAGATCCTGTCTTAAGACTATGCAGAATACAAGAAGTGTGACAAAAGCTGTGCAATCACAATGACGATATTTTAATGGGGAAAAAAGGCATTGTAATATTAATTTAATGATTTATTGTCTACAGTAGAAAGTTGGGGTAATGGTATGTCAGAGGTATATTTAAAGAATTATATTTGCTATAACTGCAAAGACCTCATTTTTACCCTGATAAAGAAATTAAGGAAATTAATTATTTGTGCTTTATGCTGGCATTTGTGAATGAAAAGGCAAATTTACTAAGTCAAGTATTTCTAACTCTTCTGTTCCAAAATTTCAAAATACCTATATTACATCTATACTGATACTAGGTGATAAATATTAATTGAAATGAGAGCAAACCAAGGTGGAAGCTCTCTTTCACAGTGACAAATTGCAGCCACACTTCATGTCTTCCCTAAGAATCCCCTACCATGCACACATCACTTCGCCCAGGTTACAAAGCTGATGGAATGGTTACTAAATTTTCATTTATAACATCCTCCAACAAAAGCTCGATAGGTTACTCCTTTCGGTGCTCGAAGAGAAAAAAAGAAGAAAAAAAAAAGATCAAAAGAAAAAGCCAAAGTAGGAATACATTTTAATAAATCACAGTAGCACAACAAAGAATTGTACAGTACTGAACATTAAATTCCAGTCAATTAAATTCAGTCAAGAATGAAACACTAAATATTCTGAAGCATTTCATTGCTAGAAATCTGCTAAATTTAATAAAGTATCTCTTGTAATGTTCAGCCACAAATTATATTGCCTGCAGAACGTGTGCTATAGGGCCACAATTGTCAATACACAGTGTTCATACATATATACTCTTTTTATATATATATATGTATATACGGTGAAGGAATCTAAGGACAATAGAGTAAATTTTAAAATCTTTCCTTACAGAGAGTTTCTTACCTGAAGCTTTAACTCCAAAAATTACATCTCATCCAAAACACCATTTCTGGAACATTGCTCTTACTAGTGGCACCAGGAATTTGCTATGAACCAATATGACTTTTAGGCTAAACAGAAATCATTAACACTAATTAATGGCTTTGTTTTTATCATTCTTTCTATATGAAGACTACTACCAGTGCTTGTGGAAGGCACAGAAGGAAAATACAAGTTGAACAGACTCCAGCTGAACGTAAAAAAAAAACAACTTTTGCATGTAAGTACAGCAGCTGGAGGAACACCTTAATTCATCTCATGACACCGGTAGGGGAAACGATGCCCTGACAGAGAGGGGGAACTTGTAGGAAGCACGAAAAAAACTTGCATGCTTACCTTGTCTCAATAAGAAAGAAGGGAAGAAAACTACTACTTGCCTGAGAGACACTAGGCTTGTTAGCTTTGGAGAACCTGCAGGGTGGAAGAAACTAGGAGAGAAAGCAAGCAGGGAGCTAGCAGCCTGAGTCGGTTTGACTCAGAGACCACGGAAGTAGGCAAGTTTCTACATCGTGGAGGTGATCCAAATCCAAGCCTTGCACATGATGGAAAGAAAAAGACTTTCCTTGCGAACCAGAAGGACCTGGGTTTGTTTCAACCCACAGACTCACTGGACTGTAAGAAAGAGCAACTACTTCTCAGGCTGAGGGTGAAGATGTGCTTCTGGTCCTTTTCTTTAGCCTGTCCTGCCCAGCAGTAGTGAGGTCCTCTAATTACCTTAGGGCTCAAGAAGATCTGACATATTAGTCAAAACATAAGATTAGCTATCACCACCTGTTAAAGTCAGAGAAGTCGTCTCATTTAATCTTGTCCATATTCAGACATGGAGTAACTCCTGAAGCCCAGCCTCTCCCCGCTGTTCAGAAACAGCTCTCCCTTTTCCAGGCATCTCACCTTGTTAGAGAAGTTAAGAGCGGCCTTACTAGCTCATCCTCACCTCGCCCACCTCCCTGCTTGTGACAGGGCCACCAGCAGACCCCAAGAGAGGGTATCAAACCAGAGCAAGGACACTGCAGCCCTTCACCAGGGCAGCCTCTCAGCCTGCAAAGAGCCACAGCTCTGGGCTGTCCCAGAGCATGGCAGGGAGCCACCAATGGGTTTCCCCCCCCACCAGAAATTTTTCTAATTGCTTTTCAAGACCCCATAAGCCCTTGGTATCCACAATGTCCTGGGCAATGCGTTTCACAATTTCGTTACACACTGCATGAAAATATCTCCCATTGCTTGCTTTGAACCCCCATCTGCTAGTCTCACTTAATACATCTATTGTTTTTTATTTGCTATTTTTTCAATTTGATGATTCTAATATTAAACACCCGGTGCTGCACATGATTTTACTGATCTCTAGTATTTCAACCTCGTCATCCTTCCTCTACACCTCAGGACTCTAACTGTCCCTTTTCCTGAGGTCATCCTCTTTTTCTCAGAGCAGCTCCTTATTTCACCTGCATGCTTTCTAACACAGGAGGAGCGGACCCACAGCTGGATGCACTGCATATTTGCTCTTCTTGCTCTATTCCGCAGTCTTTTTCATTCTGGTAATACGCTGTTTCAGAGACCATAAGACTTTGGGGAGTCTCTCACTCATTCCAAAGAGAATGAGGGAGGGCATCTTCACCCTCCGAAAGCGCTGTCTGATTCAGGATCCCATCATAGCTCAAGCTGGGAGCATCAGTACGCAAAAGGAGCAAAAATTTTGTTGCTCTAAAGCAGACATCATGGCAGACATGGACCACCACTCCATGCATCTTCTAAAAACAGTTTAGGTCATTTCAAAGTCTAATCAGTCTGATTTGGAGACTAGTATTAAGCTTTGTGATGCCAGCATCACAGCTAAAATAAGGCAAGAAAATGAGAACTGTGAATGTTAAAACACTTTTAGAACATATAAAGCGTAGGAGAGCACTGTCAGGAAAAAAAAATTACCATCTGAATTATAAAAAACCCTCTGCGTTCAGTAATGGATGCTCTTCATTATCCTCTTTTCTTTTTTATTAAACTTTTATTGGGGTTGACAAGTGACCATATGCTAACGTCGTACATCATGCCTCAGAAAGGTTACACAATCTTGGTGGATATCTTAACATATCCAAAAGCCAAGAGGTTTAAAACCAGCTTAATACTAGATTTTAAATACACTTTCAAGTCTATGCATTTTCCAGTCTTTAAAAGTTTTTAAGGAATGAATGCTTTAGAGAGTCCTTTGAGGTCCATCATGGCTGCTGTGTATTCAACACTTTAAAGTAGCATTAATGCAGATATAAACACTTGATAATGGGATCCTCTTTTCTTAAACATTAATACTACCCATGATTTAAGAATAAGACATTTTTCATAAGACTAGCTTATTTTCTAGTCACTAAAAATAGTTGGCAGCTTTGACTAGAGATTTGACTGACATCTGTGGAAGCTACCTTAGTAAAAATCATAGCTGACAGTATGACATGCCAACAACTTCAGTGGAAGAAAAGTCCTGCCGCTGAAATCTTGTTTGAGAGGCTTAAAAACGCAAGAGCACCCAAAGAAGGAAAGAGGCACAGGAAATTTTCATGCCAGTAAAGAAAGAAATCTGCCATCCAAGTGTGGTGGTTTATTTTTGGTTTTATTCCCTGTAATTGAAAAGTCTCTGTAATTAAGATGCTTTATCCATTGGGGAACTTTCATTACCTGCTTGCTGAGACACAACACTCTCCCTGCTTTGTCTGATCTGGAGCACACTTAATTAAATTTAGATGACTCTTAGCTGAACCTAAAGATGTTTCTAGCTACCCCTTATACTGCTGCTCTCATTTACTAGCCTGGGGCAATTCTAAATACGTAATTTTTTCATAAAAAACAGGCAGAAAAAACCATGTGATTTCTTCTGAACATCTTTGTAGAAAAAGGAGGAAAATGATCAAAGAGAAAGGTCAGGACAGCCAGATGTTAGTGTCCCAAGTGTTCTGCAAAATGCCCCACTTCTCCCTTACCCGTAAGGAATCGATAAGGATAGGCAACAGGGTGAATTTACACCTAGCAAATTATTTCTTTCTATTGTATTGGTGCTTCTGCAGGGCGCTCTGATTTGATGCTGAGATAACATGCAGATAGGCTTCTGGCACAGATTCCTGGGGCATTCAGAGTGCTGCAGACATACCCTCCATGCAAAGCAACAGAAAACCAAATAAAAACATTCTAAAAAAATATATATATCTTTCCCCAAATCTCTTGTAACATCTTCTCTATGTTCAGTGGATAAAGCAGGAAGACCTTAAAACCTGAAGTCTGAAACATTGTATTTT